ATCTGTCTGTCTGTCTGTCTGTCTGTCTGTCTGTCTGTCTGTCTGTCTGTCTGTCTGTCTGTCTATCTATCTATCTATCTATCTATCTATCTATCTACCTACCTACCTACCTACCTACCTACCTACCTACCTACCTATCTTTTGAAAGACAGACTGGGATGGGATGGGGAAAACCATCCTTTGATTAAAAGTGCTATTTTAAGTCCAATTCCTGGTTTATATAAATGGAAATAAGGCGATTCTTACAGCCCTGCAAATCTCCTTTAGAACAGGGGTCTCCAATCTTGGCAATTTTAAGACTTGTGAACTTCAACTCCCAGAGTTCCTCAGCCAGCAAAGAGAGAGTAAAGCTGGCTGAGGAGCTCTGGGAATTGAAGTCCACAAGTGTTAAAGTTGCCAAGGTTGGAGACCCCTGCTTTAGAAGATAGTGCATTGTGGTTTGTGTAAACATGGCTTAGTTACCTGTTCACTGTGTGGGTTGACTGAAAGGAGACGGGGCCAGAATACAGGTAGTCCTCGACTTACAACAGTTCATTTGGTGACCGTTCAAAGTTATAACGGCCGGAGAAAAGTGACTTATTATCACCGTTTTCCACGCTTACAACTGTTGCAGCATCCCCAGGGTCGTGGGATCAAAATTTGGCTGCTTGGCAACTGACTCATGTTTATGACAGTCGCAGAGTCCCAGGTTCACGTGATCCCCTTTTGGTGACCTTCTGACAAGCAAAGTCAATGGGGAAGCCAGGTTCACTTCACAACCCTGTGACTGACTTAACAACTGCACTGATTCACTTAACAACTGGGGCAAGAAAAGTCATAAAATGGGGCTAAATTTACTGAACAAATGTTTCGCTTAGCAACAGAAATTTTGGGGCTACCAAAATGGAGGGCTACCAAAATGGAGGGCTACCTGTCGTGTATTATACAGCAATCTAGTATATGGGTCGAGTCCTTTGTTTGTGGTTCCAAACACTTCCTAGTTGTGTAGGACTACAACTGCGGTTATTTCCAACCCAGGAAATCTATCTGCAGGGGAAGCCAATTTAGTCACACATATCCACAAGCGGTTCTCCGAGAGCTGAGTTTGCCAACTTCGAAGATGTGTGGACTTCAATTCCCAGAATTCCCCAGCCAAATGCTATTTCCTTATCACTTACACCAACCGTTTCTTGCTCTGTCTCCTGAACGACTCTGAGTAGCTGTGCTCCATCTTCTATATTTCAGATATTTCAGATATTTGAAGACAGCTGTCGTGCCTTGCATCGTCTTCAACTGTGCTTTCCTAAAGCATTCTTTCCAGGTGCTTTATCATTTTTGGCTGTTCTCCCCTGGACATTCTCCAGTTTGTCAATGTTTTTCCCCCCCGAAAATGCGACGCACAAAACTGGGCACCATAGTCTAGGCGTGCTCAAATCAATGTGCTACAGAGAGGCATAATCGTTTCTCTTGATTCTGACATGAGGCTTTCCTTGATGCAGCCTCTTAGGCTAAAAGGCTAGTAGAGGAAGATACTTAAAGTATCCTCAACATATAACCACGATGGAGCCTGTCCATTGTGGTTGTTAATCTGTGATGGTTGTAAATCAGGTCACCCACGTGATCGACCTGATTTTAGGAGGTTTTTTTCCCCCGGTGGCCATTAAATGAATCCTGCAATTATTAAGCAAACTACTGGTTTGTTATGGGCTGCTTTTTGCCAAAAATCAGAAGTAAATGTTGGGTTTGGGCCAAACCATCATGAAATGTGGTCATTTGTCCCTGGGAAGCTGTAAATGGCAGTAAATGCAAGTCAGTTATTGAGCCCCTGACATGCGAGTTGCATCAGAGTGCTGTGTGTGTGTGTGTGTGTGAGAGGGAGAGGGAGAGGGGGAGCGGGGAAGGGAGAGGGGGAGGGAGAGATTGATTGATTTCCAGATTGGAAAGGACCGTTGGAACTTTGAACAGTTGTAAGCAACCCGTCGTAAGTCTAGGATGACCTATACCTTCCTAACGTTCCACAAGCCATACCGATTCATTCTAGAGCAAGGGGCAGCACACTAAATATCTAGCCTTCTGGAAACACATTTTAGAAAATAGACTACCGTTGGGGTGCGCAGCATTTTGAATCTAAACTATCGCAGATTCCACCTTGGGCTCCCCAAATGACTGAAACAGGCCATTTTGCATTTCTTTCAGGGCCCAAAGACAGAATATTTGAATCCGGTTCAATTATGAAATATTTTGCGTATCTCAAAACTGTAGCCATGATTCGGCCAGTATGATGTAGAGGTTGGGGTGTTAAAATAGAGGTTGAGATGCCCCAAATTTGAATTTTCCCTCTTGTCTGTTTCAAAGTGTTTGTGTGGAAGGGGGAGGGAGAGAAAAGACAGAACCACATGGACTGTTTGATCTCCAGGAAATAAAGAAAGAAAAAAACATGAATTAATATTAGGTAGCAAGAGAAAGCGACTTGAGCTAACACCAGATCTATTTTAAGAATATCAAAGAGATACAACATTATTTCTCTCTCCCCTTTTCATTAATAACAAGAGGAATGCTTAGATGTAGTTGTAATCTACAGCTCGGAACGCAAGCCTGACATTACCTTCTCTGCTCAGTGAACACAATCCACACACCCAACAAACAATCGTTTTGCAAGTTTGAAACCAGCCCTGGGAGAAACACTTTCTCTCTCGTGTCAATTGGATTCTTTTCCTTTGGGATTCCCTGATTATCACCTCCACTGCCAAGCCTGTTTCCCAGCGGAAGCAGATTTGGAAATTAGAATTTGCAGGTGTGAAGAGAGAAACCAGATAAAAGAAAAGTTTGTTCCGTGGTGCCGACTCTCACACAAGAGAACAGCAAAGATCGGGGCTATGCGCTCAGATCTAGCGCCAATTTGCAAAGCCACAGGAACTTACCTGGGTGGCCATCTTGCCGTAATCGATCCATCGCAGGGTGGCAAAATTGGTGGATTCTGCACAGTTGAATCCGTGGTTGAACCCGGCGTGGTAGCCATAAGGAAAAGTAATCATGAATTCACCAGCTTCCTGGGTGATCTGAAAAGAGAGAAGGGAGAAATTTATGTTCCAAGAAGGCGGGAAGCAACGAGAACAAAATTAAATTTTCAGTGACCCGGCTTTCAAAGAGCAGCATTCAATTTATACAAGAGAAATCCACAATATAAACAAATTATCTGTGTACACAAGACATACAGGCAAGACTCGTGTTGATGTGTAAGGAGTGCTTCGTGTATCTTCCATATCGCCTACATATCTTAGCAGAACACAGGATGGCAGAGTTCAAAGGGACCTTAGAGGTCTTCTAGTCCATCCTCTCACCCAAGGAGGAGACCCTATAGCATTTCAGACAAACGACTGTCCCATCTCTTCTTAAAAGCCTCCAGTGTTGGAGTACCCAAACCTTCTGAAGGCAAGTTGTTCCATTGATTAATTGTTCTCGCTGTCCGGAAATTTCTCCGTACTTCTAGGTTGGGTCTCTCCTGGATACGTTTCCAAGCAAACTTGGCTAACAGGATTATGGAAACCACTGGACCACCGCAAGGCGCTCGATGTGGGGCTGCCCTTGAAGGCCATGTAGAAACTTCAACTGGTGCAAAAGGCAGCAGGACAGGGAGTACAGTAAATGGTGCCAGTTATTCGGTGCGTGTAACGTCTCTACTCTGTGAGCTGCACGGGTGGCCAGTGTGCTTCTGAGTTCAATTCAAGATGTGGGTTGTCACCTTCAAAGCCCTTCCTGGCTTGAGTCTGGGTTACTTGAAGCCCTGCCCCTCCCAGATGGTTCTGATCGGTTTGATCAAGTGCAATTGTAATCTCCTCATTGCTGCCCCTTAAGAAAAGGTGCAGGGAAGACAGCAAGGGCTTCAATCCTGAAATGGGTTTGCTCAGTTGCAGTTGCCACAGCAAACAAGCTAAGCTCTCTCCAGAGACCCCCCAGCCCATCTCTCTGAGTTGGCGGGAAAGACTTACAACCATTCGAAGTTACAACAACGCTGACAAAAGTGGCTTACAACCGTTTTCCGGACTTACGACTAATGCGGCATCCCCCACGGTCAGGTTATCGAAGTTCAGACGCTCGGCCAATGATTCATATTTATGACGACGGCCGTATCCCTGAGTCACGTGATCACCACTTGCGACCTTCTGACAAGCCGAGTCAACAGGGCAAGTCCGACTTACTTAACAACCATCTGACTAGCTTAACGTCTCCAGGGATTCAGTGAACAATTTGTGGCAAGAAAGGTTATAATGTGGGGCAAAGCTCACTACTGAACTGCCTTGCTTAGCAATGGAAACTTTGGTTGTCAATTGTGGCTGTAAATCGAGGACTGCTTGTCCTCCATCACTTCACTCTAAAAATGCAAGGACCCTTTTAAACTGTTAGGAAAAAAAGACTGCAGAGACCTCAACCACCAAGTAGCAAATTCAGTTCCCATTAGGCGAGAAGCAACCTAGAACTAAGGAGGAATTTCCTGACAGTTAGAACAATTAATCAGTGGGTGTTCCAACACTAGAGGTTTCCAAAAAGAGACTGCACGGCCATTTGTCCAAAATGGTATAGGATTTCCTGCTTGAACAGGGGGTTGGACTAGAAGACCTCCAAGGTCCCTTCCTACTCTGTTATTCTGTATAAGTCCAGAAGAGAAGGACCAGGGGAGACATGATAGCAGTCTTCCAATATCTCAGGGGCTGCCCCAAAGAAGAGGGAGTCAAGCTATTCTCCAAGGCACCAGAAGGCAGGACAACAAGCAATAAGGATGGAAAGTAATCAAGGAGAGACCCAACCTGTAACTAAGGAGGAATTTCCTGCCAGTCAGAACAATTAACTGCTCTTAACAAGGAACAACTTGCCTCCAGAAGTTGTGGGTGTTTCATCACTTGAGGTTTTTAAGAAGAGACTGGACTGCCGTCTGTCTAAAATGGTATTGGCTTTCCTGCTTGAGCAGGGGGTTGGACTAGAAGACCTCCTAGGTCCCTTCCAACTCTGTTATCCTGTTTTAATCCACCCAATACCCAAGCCCACATAAACCTCTTTTGATTCACCGATATATGAAGCCAACGACTGACTAAGGTAGGTACTGAAGGAAGCTAAGGGAGAGGAGCAGACAGGAGACTATCAACCCAATGTCAAAGAGAATGGAACAGGCAGGTTTCTGTAAGCTTTGATTTTCAACTTCCTTATCACAGAATGAGTTTATCTCTGCTGCTAGTGCTTTGAGTAAAATCCTAGGCATGCGCGCTCCAAATGCTGCTAACAAGCTCTACACAGAACTGAGCTGCAGCAAATTCAAAATTTATCTGTGGGAAAAAGGCGATCAAAAAGTAGACAAGCATTATAGCTTCAATCACACATAAAGTCCTGTACATCAATACACTCTTCTTTTAGATTTCTTTGTACATTCCTCTCTTTCTCCCAAACATTTCCCCTCTCTTCGTTTGGATTTACCCATGGGAGGGGTCTAAATCCAAAATACCAAAGAGGACATCAAGACTAAGACAAATATCCCCAGAACGAGATGAAAGAGAAAGGATGTCAAGAACCTAAGGCGCCATTTACAACGACACTAAATTCACACATCACTTGAGAGCGGAAACCCATTTTTCTCATCACGGTAAATGTCACTGGATCGGAAATATATGGGAAAATGGGATTCTTATTTATTATGAGACTCGGCAAGCAAGGTTTAAAATATTTAGCTTTGCAGACATTTTCAAGAATAAACAAATTTCTCATTACGTTCTGTAGACTGAAGTGGAGGACATACAAAGTTAGCATAGCATAGAAATGAATGAATGAACGAATGAAAGAGAAAAAAGAAAGAAAGAAAGAAAGAAAGAAAGGAAGGAAGGAAGGAAGGAAGGAAGGAAGGAAGGAAGGAAGGAAGGAAGGAAGGAAGGAAG